GTGGTCCCGGTCTGGGGCCAAGCAGCCTGATGCGCTGTGCGGCAAATTACGACATGTGCCTGACATCATTTCCCTTTCCACTTTAGTGGATAGCCGGGGCTTGGCCCACTCCCGCCTGTCCTTCACCATGGCGTAGATCCCACGGCGACGACATCCTTTTGAGCCAAGCAGACACTTTTAATTGAGAGACACTTGGCTGAGTTGTAGCGCGCAATTAAAATGCCATTACATATAAAAACAAGGCTCAAGACCAGGGCACTGTGTCCGCTAATGCTGACAGCACACAAATTTTGGTTACAAAGATTTTTTTGAGAATTTGTATAAAAAATATTTATTTAGTTATTTAAATTTTATTTTATAAAATATTTATTTTAATTTTTTTATTAAAAATACGCTTCAAAGAATAGAAATATAGAATTATTTAAAAAAAATATTTTTAAAGGATTTTAATGAATGGAAGTGACTCTGTTAATACGAATTATTTGTAATTATAACAATTTCTTAATGAAATTAATAAATAAACAGTTTATAAATATATTTTTTTTTTATATTTTGGCTTAAATATTTTTTTATATTTTTTTTACATAAATTTTTGTAGTCTGGTATAATTAACTTATTTAAAATCCTTGCTCCACCATGCAGCATCTTGGTTAACTCTGCAGCAAGTCTTAGTGTGTGTGTGTTGTTTGAATTGTATGTGTGTATGTGTGAGTGTGTGCAGGAGCATCGTGACGCGTTTGTTAGGTGGGTGCGTGCAGCTGAAATGGCATCCCAGGGGGCTGGCTTTGGGGCCAAGCAACCAATTCGTTAGCTTCACACCGCAGCACAGTCCCAGCGACGCGCTGTGATTTACTTGGACCACACGCATATCTCAATTTGTTGTGGAGCCGACGATGGCAACTATGCTTTGTCAGCTTTGGCAACTCTTTTTTTTTGCATACATTTTGTTTGTACTTTTTCACTTTCCTAGTTGCTTCATTTTTCCGTTTATTTTGCCTTTCGCAGTGCACAAATCACGCAGTTCTATCAAAATCACATGTAACGCCCACGTCCACGCCCACATTCACCTGCGGGCATTGGAAATGCAAATTTAGTGTAAAAAGTTGAACTGCCAACGCGATGTGCTCTCGCTCTATCACCCTCCACTCCCCACTCTCTCGCTCTCGCTCTATCTCTCCCAACTCTCCCTCTCTCTCTCCTTCTCATGCGCTGTCTATATATTTATTGCTCGCCTGCTCTGCTCCATTTTCTGTGTGTTAGTTTATTTTTGTGGCATTCCAATTGATTTGCTGATTTGCGCATCAATCAAAGAAAATTTGTGCTCCAAGTTTGCTTTCATGTGGCTCCATTGTTTGAGGTTTCCTTTTTGGGTCTTCCGTCATCGCATTGTTTATATTGAAGGTATATGAAGCATGGGGCTGCGCGGATTACCAACTGACTTGACGTACCCTTTCTATGGCTTAACGTTAATTTATTTTTTATTGTTATTGCTATAGAACTGTCAACTGCGTGACCCCCAAAAAAATCAATAATAGTTAATCGACCAGTTTTAATTTTAGAGAGTTAAATATAACAGCCCGTTTTCTGATCAGTAACGAAATCATTTCTATATACAAGCATACACATTCTTTAAAGTGATGTCAGTTTCCTTTGATATTCCTTATTTCTCAGGAAACTAATTTCACCTACTTTATAGAATTTATATAGACGCACCTATTTACGTATTCCTTTTAACGAATTTCAATTCGTCTGCTGGCTGAATTCCTGAGCGCATAAGCTACGAATTCCATTGGCCTAACCCCAACAATGGCAGCCAATAATGATTTGTAATCTGTGCCAGTTACGAGGTACACAGGACACAGGACACTGCGGATCGAGGCGAGGACATTGGACATGGTTGACTGGCTGGCTGGCTGGCATGGTCTGGTATGCCGCCCACAAAGCTAGGCACAAAATTCAATTTTGCAAAGAAGCAGCGCATTGGCATGCAGGTCGCAAACGTCATCATCGTCGACATCATTGTCAGCTCTTTGGCAGTTTGCCATCAAATTGGCGGATTGGCGGCTTTAAAGTGCGTGCCATGCCATGTTCCATGCCAGCCAGCCAGCCAGCCAGCCAGCCAGCCCAACTCAAGGGTTAAGTGTGTAAATGTAAGCCAGTTCAGTTGAGCGCCATTTTGGCCTTATCGCAATTTACCAAGCGCTTCCTTTAACACACTTAAATAGTCGTGTGGTTCATACGCCTAACAGTGGAACAGTCGGGCAGACAGTCGAGGGATACTTTTTAAAGCGAAAAGGTAACTTAGCCCCCCAGGGCTCGACGTTGGCGTCTCTCACGTGTCATTATCTTAATTTAAGTCAGCCAAGAGCCCAGCACCAGAACCAGAACCAAAACCCAAACCAAACTCCCCTGCCAGTTAGTGCACCTCGCAACGATGGAAGCTTCTTTTAACTCCCATATCTCTTACTTGAATACACAATTATGTGGTTCACTGTGGGTGCATAGGTGGGTGGTTGTCTGCGTGTGTGTGTGTGTGTGTATACGGTATGTGGGTAAAAATTAAATTTCTCATGCTAAGAGACAGCGATATCGTTGCTCATCATTATACAGTCAGGCACGGTCCGTGGCTTGTTACTATGCATGGCTATATCACGACTTCAGATTCATCTCGTGTATATCTGATGCGGCCGGGTATATGCAATAAGTGCAGCTGCTTGTCTGAAATAATATTGCATTAGTAATGTAGATGGTGAATGTGAATATTCATTACAGAATATATACAAACATAATACATTATTAAATATTATTATATATTTATAATTTATTATTTATAGAAAATATATTTTATATTCCTTCACTATTTCATAGCATCGTAAATAATTTATATTCGTTTATAATTTTACTATCAATTTTACAGAGCCATATTTGATTTCATTATTATAATACTATTTCCTTGAAAACTCTATTTATTCTCTGCGAAGCGCTGGCTATTGAAATTTATTGATAGAAAATACTTTGCATATTAATTAAACCAAATCTCGTATATCAAGATTTTTTAAAGCTTTGTCAACATTTTTGATTTGTAAGGGTGTGCCAGCTGCGGCTTAGCTCGACGAAATTAACATACTTGTTTTTACTCTGTTATTAGACTCGTGGGAGTTCTCGCATGCAATTTGCAATCTTTCCAAGAGCGTGTGCTATGACAGTTTTTGTATATAAGTATATTTATCAAATGAAAACACAAATACATGAGAGCATGCCAGTGCCAGCTAGTCTGTGTCCGTGTGTGTGTGTGTGTGTGTGTGTGGGTGCTGTAATGAGGCCTGCGGTGTCGACTCTGTGCGAAGAATATCAACATTTTATTGCACATGAATTTCAAATTTCCAACTCGCACAGCTTACACATGAAATCAACAAAGTGTGACAGTTGATGTGACCAATACACTCGCGCACGACACACACACACAGACATCTGTGAGTGTATTCTGTTATGCACATGTCCTGATATTATTGCATTCGCAATGCCGAGCTGTCAAAATCTGTTCGCAAAATGTGCAAATGAATGCAATTTAAAATAGATTTTTTATGTTTTGAACGAATGCTGAAAAAATAAAAAAAAAATATAAATAAAACTTTTAACTAAATGCGGCACAATTTTGAAGAGATGTTTTATATATTTTAAAATAATAAAGAGTGTATATTTTGTTATTAAATTTAAATTTAAATTTATATTTATTTATATTTATATTTATATTTATATTTATATTTATATTTATATTTATATTTATATTTATATTTATATTTATATTTATATTTATATTTATATTTATATTTATATTTATATTTATATTTATATTTATATTTATATTTATATTTATATTTATATTTATATTTATATTTATATTTATATTTATATTTATATTTATATTTATATTTATATTTATATTTATATTTATATTTTTATTTATATTTATATTTACATTTCACAAAATATTTCTCTTTAGATTTCTCTAAGTCTTTAGATTTCTTTAAGTCGATAATGGAAAATCGAAGGGATTTTGAAAGTTTGCATTGAAGAAGAGAGCTTCGTTGATATTTCCTACTAAATAAAGTTTTCGCATACTTTTCGCAATTATTATTTTATTTCTTCTGCACATCTTGAATTGTTTGAAAGGTGAACTTTTTGGGCAGCCAAAAGCCAAATAAAAGTTAAGTTACACAGAAAATTCCTTAGCACATATTTAATGTTTCACGCAAAGTTAAATCACAGTGCGGTCTAAACTGAGTGCATATTGAAAATGTGCATAAATTAGGCCAAGCAAGAGGCACACAAACACACACACACACTTCTGTAAGGAAACACTCATACATGGAGAGAGACAATCAATTATGCAATGCGAAAAGTCAAGTTGTGTCCACGAACGAAGCAGAACGAAAAATCGAAAGGCATTTGTGTCAACTTCTCAATGAGAATCGAAAGTGGGCGGGGCAGGGTAAGGGCTAAGTGAACGCCTGCAATGCGCCATAAGCGGACAAAATTGAAAGTACTTCGAGACAGGACAATAACTGGTGGCCAGGCAAGCTGACAGCCTGGCGGCAGGCAAGCTATTTGGCTTCCTTTTCTTTTTTTTTTATGTTATTATGGACAAACTGAAGAACTGTCGACTGGGCGACTGATGACGATTTTCATTCAATATATGCGCCTGTATGGAGTTGAGAGTGTGTAGCCTGAGCGTGTCAAAAGTTTGTGCCAAAGGCTACAAAACAGTTTACACACAGAGCAACAACACAAAGAGTGCTCGCCGCCTGCAGGGCTCGCTTCGCAAAATTTTGCTGACCTCAATATTTGTTCAACTTTTCAGCAACAATTTCGTTATGCGATTTGCCTGCCACGCCCCCCTCCCTAAATCCCCACTGCGGAGTGTCATAAATGCCTGCAGTTTGGCAGCTCTTGTTCTTGTTGTTGTTGTTGTTGAGTGAAAGTGTTTTTGGTTTTTGAAAGTGCCTCAAGTTACTCAGTTTTGTTCGTTTATTGCTTTGATTTGATGCAAAACTTTTGCTTTGCATTTACAACCAACACCACCCACACGTTCTTCTCTATACCTTGACTTCTAATGGACAGCGTCTTCGGTAGTTCAGGATGCAGCCACTTTCATGTTTCAAACTACAATCCAGAGGTTGAGCTGCCGATTAGTAGCTTACACTTACAGAACCAAATACAGATCTTTGTTTCGACTCACCAACATATGCGCTGCAAAACGAAACATGAACAGCAATTGCACCACCGGACCTAAGAAAAAGATGGGCACCAGATGTAGGCTCAGCGATAAGCCACTCAGCATCAACCACTTCCACATGGAGTAGATGAAGCATATACACATCGCTAGATTCGACAATATGACCAGACTGCTAACATATACCAGCTTGCAGCGCTAAGAGTTGGAGAAGAACTTTATTCAAATAGATTTACAAATACAATAAGGAAGAGCCAAGAGTGCCCGACTAGTAAGCGCCCTTAACGATCGTTGAATGCATAACGATTCTGCTTAATATATACTTAATAACTATTCAAATATTTGCCATACAGATAAGAAGAGAAGCTCTGCTGGCAAGTCTTCGACTCAAACCCGAACTCAACTCTAGAAGATTTTCTCTGAGTATTTTTACACACGATCATTGAGCGACAAGCAAGAGAACTTTCTGCTGATGCCAGCCTTTTAGCTGACATTTCATTTACATGCACATACCACAACACGAATACTTCTCCATATAACTTCAGCTCTCATCTATCCCTTCAATATCTTAAAGAGCAGCTTTGATTTTAGATAAATGTTAAATATGCAAAACTCAGACAGAGACAGACAAACGGACTGTTTTACCTAATACCCCAGGTATACCTAATTTATATTTATATATATATAAGTATATATTTATATTTATATAAATATATATATATACATATATATATATATATATATAAATATTATATTTATATATATATATATAACTGTAGCTAAGCCACCTTCATAAACTTTCATAGTTCCTATTTGGAATGGAATGGAAGCAAGATAAGAATAATTTACATGTTTAACGTGTGAAGATCGTTTAGGCGGCTTGATGTAACTTACCGGTACCAACAAAGCGAGTAAAAATGGCAGAAGTAAAGCCAAATGATGTCTAAAAAGCGTTTCCAAAAATTTCCATGTTGCAGACTTTAAGACTAAATGCATATCCTCATTAGCTTGATACATGACAGGCTCCTCATAGACCAGGGGTACATAATAAAAGGTATTGACCGGACCGAAAGAGTTAATAGAAGCTGCACGGAAATGCAGAAGTGAAAAATTCCGTATCACATGTAGCAACAGCTAAAAGTTCACTTACTTTGCGCCAAATGCTTGAACCGATTTATAATATGGTACATAAAAACGTTGTGTATAATGAGCAGAAGGGCCGCCCGCTTGATAGGATTTATAGAGCGCTGATAAAATAGAGCAAGGAAATCCATTATAAATTGCAAGTGAATACTGTTACTCCGGCACTTACTACATATAGAAGTAATTGATATAACAGTATAATGATAGTCACTAAGCCCTCGTGCATATTGGCCATAACGCTTGACAAGCAATTAAATTTGGAATAGTTCAGAAAATTTTATCTTTAATGAGTGAAAATGCAATGTTTTAAACTTCCCCCATTTGTCAAATAATACATAACATTTTTGTCACTTTTTAAAATCTGTTCTTTATTTCAATGCTCACAATTAACCATTTTCAAAGCACTGGCCTTCTGGCTCTTTTTGTTAAATATGTGACAGGCAGAGGAGTGCAAGGCAGAGCTGAGTTCATCTAGTAGACGGCGATATTTTGAAAAGATTTGTGAGCATAGCCTAAGGACCAGAAAAGCTAAGGAAATTTAGTATATGCGACTGCTCTGATGAGTGCACATTTGGTACATATATTAGACTGTGAATAATGGATCCAATTTTAAAGGAATTTCAACAACGTTTATTAAATATTTTAGATCTATAGATGATTCAGGGTATCTCCTAGTACTTTACGCCCTACTGGAGTACTCCTACTTGTTCACTGTATTCGCATTTTTCCGCCCATTTGTGGCATTATTAATTTCCAAGTGCACGTCGTCGACAACTTCAATTATTTAATGTTCTTAATGAAGAGCAGCTGGCCGCAAGTCTTTTGCATAATGGTTTACAATTACCAATTATCAGATTGTTGCATCCAGCTAACAATCTTGGAAGCTGTATAAATTGCAATTGCATAAATCAAAACGGAATCATTTAATTCAATTTGCCCAACATGTGTAAATAATGTTCGAATTTCTATCTCGACGTTTCGTTCTCCCAACCTAATTGACTGGCTGTCAGGGCAGGCAGCAACAACAACAGCAGCAGCAGCAGCAACTGAACTGCAATAATCAAAATAAACATGCTTAATTGACATGACCCTCAATAGTCTTTCAGGTTCAGCAACAAGTTAAACAAAGAAATGTAACAAATATTGTATTTAATTAAAGTTGTTGAAATAGCAATAAGTAAGACTGTTAAAAATAAATTTAATAATAAATAAATGTCTAATGTCCCTAAGACACAACAAATATAAAAATGTTTTAAATATTTTGATTTGATATATTGATATATAAAATAGTACTAATTCTTTAGATAATTAATCGATACCGATAACATATCGAAATTGTTAAGACTTGGCGCCCATAAATTTCATGTCTGCCATTGACTATATTTGACTATATTTAAATATCTTATGATCGCTTGAACGCACTTATTAAACTGCATATGCGCCTTCAGTGTCATCATCATACATATAAATATTTAAGCTTGTTGTGTGATATCTCGTTATAAATAATGACTACGATTAATTATGATGTAATCCTGACGTCGCTTGTTCGAACAATTTTCTACCATTCTTTGGGTCTCTTTTTTTTGTATTTTGCTTGTTGTTGCATTAATGTTTTTGGATGCAAATGTTGGAAATTTAATTAAACATTAATCATAGCGCCAGGCGGGCAGCGAGTGCATTAAATTGGCGTCGAGCACATTAATTAACGTTGGCAACCTTGGCAAGTGGGCTGCAAGGGATTTGCGTTATTAATTGAACGATATGCAACGGTTGTTCATGCAGTTACAAAACCTATACAGCGTACCACTTAATGCCATAATGCGGCATATAAACCTATAAATCTATATATATATATAGTTGACTATATATATAGAGTTTTTGTTCGGTTTCCGTTTGTATATTTTGAGCACAACTGTCACGTACGAAACGGTTCCCTGAGCCGCTGCACACTTCATCAAAGGAAATGGAGCTTGAATTGATTTTGCGCACAAACACACACACACACACGCACACACGGTGTGTGTTACCTTGGCCTAATGTGTCTCATTTGGTTGGCAGTTATCTGCCCCTTCTCTCTAAAACTAAAGCGGCAGCCACTCAAAGGCACTTTAGGTACTTGGAGTCCATTTAAGTTCGTCTTCACTTTTCGAACTTGCCTTACTTTTTGCTAAATTTAATTTTTTGTTCTCCTAAGCTAAGTATGTTTCGTCTTTGCAATAACATTTTGTCAACGACATTGACATGAATAAATAAAAGAACAATACACGCATAATTTTGTTGGGAACATGCAGAAATTGTTACATTTAACAATTGTTTGAATTATATAAATAAATTTAACATTATTTTCTTTTTTTGGTATGAATAAAAATTTCAAATAGAGTTAATTAGAACATTTTTTATTATAATTTGAAAATTATTAATATTACAATATTAACATTTATTATTGGCTTTTGAGCTTCATAATATAATAAAAATCTTTAAACTAACATTTATATTTATTTTATCCATGTGCATATTATCTTAAACTTCAAAAAATATTTTAAAAAATGTAAATTAATATTTTTCCATTTTTTTTTATTTTTAAATATAACAAAATGTATTACAAAATAACACTGCACAAAAGTTAATTCCCAAATAAAATATATAAACAATTCACTAAATATATAGTAACATTTATTTACAAAACTTCAATTAGGGAAACTTTAAGTGAAATACAAGACTTCAGCTTTTTTGCTCTGCACCCATTGAAAATGGAAATTTAGGGTAAAATGGTTTTGTGTTTTAATGAATCTTGTTTCTCTAATAGTCTAACTTCGTGCACATCATTTGCGCTTAAGCTTAACACATATTTCAGTTGACAATCTGGAAACTCTGCAACAAGTTTATCCTTCCACTTTCAAATGCCACAGCAAAAAAAAAGAAGAAAAATACAAATGCTGAGAGAGTTGCCCACGCATTTATTTCAATTTTCATATAGTACCAAAAAAGCAGAGCCAAAATTCAGAGCGAGCCGCAAACTCATTTACACGTTTAGGCCAAAGCTGTCGGACGCTGAGTAATTTATGCATACAATGGCATTTAAATGCGTTTAGCAGCGAGCAGCTCAGTTCAGAGTCGAATCGTGTCGAGTCAGTCACTCGGCCAGTCACACAGATAGACAGGCGACAGACAGACACAAAGAAAGCATTGCTGGCAATTTGGGTTCACTTTCATTTTTCACAGCGTCCCTTTCATAAAAGGCAAAACCGTTTTACGAAAGTCGCAACGCGGGGCGGGCAGGCAATAGCTGAAGAAAAATGAGCGTAATGGGTGCCAAAAGCCAAAAGAGACACACGGACGACATTTTATGCGACTTTGGGGAATTGTTTAGAAAATTGACAAATTATGGTCATAAGTGGCACGATTAGTTTCTGTTGGCCAAGTGTCCCAAGGTTGTCGCCTTTTCACTTCGTTCCTTTCCACACATATACCCAAATCTACAAAGCACATATATATACATACATACCCATATACATATATTTATAGATTGTTTCAGTCGCGCTGCGTGTTATTAATAATTCAATTTGGCTGTTTCGCAGCAGGAGGAACACACGCAGCGATGAGCGAAATGCAGCCCACACCTGCTGTCTCAGCGAAAACTGTTCGCTTGCCACATTTTCCCTACCATTCCATACAAGCCCGGCTCATTATATATTCATGCAAGTTAAGTGCGAAAGCTCATATGGCGGAATAATAAATTGAATTCGGCCCACAAGCCTGCACAATTGCATAAGTAGCTACACGTGCTATGCCCATTTATGGCATGCTTCCTCTTATACATTCGCTCTCTCCCTGTGTCTTGGCTCTGCTTGACGGAAGATAGAAATGTATCCAAGTCCTGCGACTCACGCAATAGTTGCCCACTTGCTGTTCGCTGCAGAAAGGTATTTAATGTTACTCTTTGCTGCACTTAAATTCTTACTAATAATAGTTTCGAAATTAACCTGAAATATATATATATATAAATTATATAAAATATGAAGAAACTTCATATACATGTTTGTTCAGCTATACTTAAGAAATCTTATTGATGCTTCTCACTGCAGCAATCCAATACTTTTCATACCCTGAGCCTATTGAAAATATATAATTGAATGTAATAAGCCGCAGTAGCTGTGATGATTTTGATCATAATTTTCTGATTTTTATGCTGTGGTTATCTTCCTCCATTTCCCTCAAAATTATAAAACCTATTTCAAAGTATTTGCATTTGCTTTTGTGCAGTGTATCTGCTAGTCATGCATGCTCAGGAAACTAAAGCAAATTCTTGTTTGTTATGTGCCAGCTCAGTAAATATAATTTATTAACTTATTTTGTATACAGTTATGTATATACATATATATATATATATTGGTTGTGCTCATAACTCTGATAAGGCCCTCTGTATATTCTTGTAATTGATTAGAATTTTTATTTTTTATTTCAGCATAAAGTATATACATATCAGAGAACTTGCGTTGGTTTATCGCTGGGTATAAAAGGCCTGCCGATTGCTGCTGTACAGTTACAACCATTTCGGAAGTGCTGTAGGATAAATCAGAAATATATGAAAATGAAATTAATCGTGAGTACAGTTGAAACTGTTTAAATGCAATTGAAAAACTAATCTATACTATTATTGAGGTTTATAGATCGTATTCTTCGCTCTGATCGTCACTGTACTCGCCGCACCTAATATTGTGTTCTTTGGTAGAAGCCCAATGAATCGAAGTGGCTTTGATACGCGCAGTCAACACAAAGTGCGACACAATGGTGCACATTAGATTAGCTCTTAAATTAAGCAATTAGTTAAGTAAACTAAATTCAAAATTTCTAAAAGTGGTAAAATGTGCAGTTAATAATACTTTAATGGTTAATAATACTTAATAATAATACTTAATACTTTTTTGATTTCGACTCTAATAAATTCATGAAAAAATGGTTTATCTAATTAAATAAAATTAAAATTTGAATTTTTACCACACTTTTGCGACTAAAGGCCCAGTTTCCGAAGGTCTAAAAAGAAATATATTGAATTGTTTTCATTTGTCTAATTGCAGAATGAAGGTGCATTTCTTGTTAATTCAGCAGCGCTTTAGGTTCATAAGAGTTTTACTATTCATATGAATGTCAGTTAGAATGCTTGCATCAGCTGAAAGTTCTCTTGCTTGTCGCTCAATGAAAGGAAGTCTCGCCCGCCTTAAAGGCCAGCAGAGCTCTTCTCTGTATGGCAAATATTTGAATAGTTATTAAGTATACATTAAGCAGAATCGTTATGCATTCAACGAGCGTAATGGGCGCCTAGTCAGGCACTCTTGACTCTTCCTTATTGTGTTTGTAAATCTATTTGAATAAAGTTCTTCTCTAACTCTTAGCGCTGCAAGCTGGTATATGTTAGCAGTCTGGTCATATTGTCGAATCTAGCGATGTGTATATGCTTCATCTACTCCATGTGGAAGTGGTTGATGCTGAGTGGCTTATCGCTGAGCCTACATCTGGTGCCCATCTTTTTCTTAGGTCCGGTGGTGCAATTGCTGTTCATGTTTCGTTTTGCAGCGCATATGTTGGTGAGTCGAAACAAAGATCTGTATTTGGTTCTGTAAGTTATGCAAATACCTACTAATCGGCAGCTCAACCTCTGGATTGTAGTTAGAAACAAAACTCACTGAATTGTTTTAAGCAAAATTTAAATAAACTTAGTTAATAATAATTGGAATGTTATGCTCTATACATAATTTTTAAAATTTTTTAAAAAGGTTACGCAGATTCACAGTAGGACAACATGCAGCACATAGAAGAGACGGCATCGTACAAATGTGCAGTGAAGGGCACCCTCATAGACTAGGACATGGAACACATTTGACGGATGGCATAGTTGAGATCATCTGCTTGATTTCGAGTAGAGGGCAGCTTCATTTAGCGCACACTCTACGCCGCTTGTGACGACAGCTGGTCGTCACCTTGCAAGCCTAGGGATGACTTATTTTTGTATTACTGATTGTGGGTGTGCAATTGGCGTTAGTTTCTGCGTACCTGACGACGATAGTAATCCTTTTGGCATTCGGATAGTCTACACCATGCTCGTGCAGCCTTCATGACCAAATCTTTGGGTTTGAGTCCACAGTGTTTGCGTCGATAGGCCCGCAAAAAGTTTAAGTACCCATTATTAGTTACTGGGCCTGGCTTTTGGCATTTCATCTTTTTCGGGCAAGGCTTCGGACAGCGTGGCTTTGGCTTTGGGCAGCATCGCTTCGGCTTTGGGCAGCTACGCTTCGGCTTTGAGCAGCTTGGCTTCGGCTTTGGGCAGCTTCGCTTTGGACGACGTCGACGCTTACAGCTTGGCTTTGGTTTGGGGCAGCATGGTTTCGGCTTGGGAGAGCAAGGCTTTGGACGACGTCGACGGGGCTTACAGCTGGGCTTCGGTTTAGGGCAGCATGGGTTCGGTCGTCGACACGCGTCATCCATGTCATCCATGTCATCCTTATCCTTTTCATCGACGTCTTTCACCACTTCCTCATCATCCATTTCATCCACGTCATCCGCATCTTCATCCGCATTTCCATCCATGTCGTCATCCATGTCATCTTCCATATCGCCATCATCGGTTTCACATTCGCCATCTTTTGCATCGTCATCGTCTTCATCGTAATCTTCCTCAGCGAAACGATATTTCTTTCGCTCAGATAAGGGCAGCCGGTTCCATAACTTGCCTCCCTTTATAACATCGGGTACATCAAGCCCGCGCGATCCTGCTGTATAATCTCGCATGAAGTTTACAAACCCATTGTTGGTCACGGGTCCTTTAAGAAAGCTTTTTTGAGCTAATAAAATCTCGCTATCGCCCATTTTACTGTTAAATTATATGAAACAAAGATTATTTGCTTGGAAATTAGGTTAGATCCAATGCCTGAAGACCCAATATTTCGACTTGCTTTGAGCTAGAGAAGTCCATAATTAATATACCTTTAGAGCTACACAACGCCCAAGCATATACTAGAGAATATCGTGGCCAACTTGCAGTTGCCAAACTGTTTCATTGTTCAGGCTGCTTTGAGTTCTAGAGGCTATAGAAGCCATGTCTCGACTAACAATGGATATGGTTTGCAGTGCACAGTAGGAGCAGGTGGAAACAAGGAGTTGTGGGATGTAATCAAACAAATCCCTAGAATCGAGCAGCTATTGTGTTTCTCTCTTTGACTAGAGCAGTCGATGGCATAAGCTCCTCCACTTCATACATGTATTAGATATACCAGACAAGAATTTACCTTACACTGCATACAGTAAAACAATTCTTGGAAATCCAGAATTATGTGGGGCGTTGCCAAAGGAAAGCGTACGCATTCAAAGAATTTCAGCAAAGGATTATTAGTTTGTAATGGATTCCCAGTCCAATTTTTGTAATATGTATCAAGTCTTAAAACCAACTTTTACTTCAAGGCAACCAAGCTAGATCCAGTCTAGCTAATAATAACAAACAATATGTACAGAAAGGAAGAGAGGACTACACACCAAAGCCACTAGGCCACGTTGAATAAGGGGCTTTATGCTTTTGATTAAGAAATTGACAAGCGGCAGCATTTCAAGCTGAAGATGCGTAGACAAGCAGCAGCTAAAAGAGGAATTAACGGCAGCGACGGAGCTTGGCTGTTGGCACACAAGGCAAGTGCAGAGGGCGTTGAGCGATTATCATTAGCCGCCAGAATAGTTGACATTTAGCACGCACAACGAGCAGCAGTGCAACGTGCAGTTGCAACAATGTTTGAGTAATTGTTTGCTGCTGCAACAGCAAAGGTAGTAGCAGCAGCAGCAGCAGCAGCACGACAGATGCAACAAAATTTGCATGCATTGAGCGCCCCCCGCCCACCTACTGCCGTTGTTGTCTGGTTTGCTGCACGTAGCCGTACAGTGGCAGCAACTGCAGCAGTAATTGCAACAAACAATTAGCGTCACTTGGATTTATGTTTACGAGCGGCTGCCTCGACATTATCCCAGCCGAACCAAAGCCCATGCCGCACACCCTGCACATTATCATTGGACCCAGGCAGTTGATTCAATCACAGTCGGTTAAAAAATTTGGTTGTTCTTGCGAGCCAATTGCACTTACCTAATTTTAGTTTAAAAATCTTTTGAATCAATTTAAAATCACATGTACAAAATTTATTACTGAATTCCAAACTAAAAGACATAAAAATTAAAACAAAAATTAGTTGCTTGTTTCACGAGCTGTGACTAAATACTTAATTCTGCCCAGAACTTGCTTGGCTATACGGAGTTTTGTGATTGACTGATAAAGCATGGATCACTGTGTTTTTTGTTGTATTAACCAAAAGATTGTAAGCTAAAGTGAAATTGTTTTTGTTATATCTCGTACTCAACAAGCATTTGGAAATTTAGGCTAAAGCTATTTTGAGCAAATGTATGCAACAGGCAGAAATAAATATTCTCGACTTGGCTGTATGCTCGATTGAGTACTTTCCACCAATTTGAATCCATTTGCAAATTGATAGACCGATTGATTGAAATTAAAATAAAATCATATCGATCTACATTGAGAGCTCCTACGTTTTGAGAGCTCGAGCCACATCATTTTATATCTTTTTTTTCATCTCTTCTAAAATGAGAATGATTTCGGATATATTATATTAAAAGTCTACATTACGTCATGGTATAAATACAGCCTGCGTTGATCTCTCCTAACACATCCAAGATACAAGCCTATGAAAAAATTAAACTTTGATTAAATGAGTCAAATGCTATGTTATGAGTTTTATTAATTAATTAAGTCTAGCACTAATGGTTAATATATTGATTAAATACTAAGGGTAAAGAAATAAACGACTGAATTGTGTAAATGTTTAAATGATTATAAATTTATTTTAATGTTTTATTAAGTTTAATTGTTTAGAGAATTTCTGAAAAAGCGAGCAGCCCATTGAATAGTAAATTTTTGGCTAACAATCCAATTACCTTAAACCTGCTTCACCTTTACCTTCACAACCCTCTACCATTATCTACAGCTTCCCCGCCTTTAGTAAAACGAATTTATGATTCAGTGGCCTTCTCTTTCTTACGTGTAGTAATGGACGTCTTTAATTAAAATGTTGCTTATTAAAATAACATTGAATTTCGATAATTTTGCACAATGTAAAATTCATCGAACATTCGAGTGTCTGCTTGATGCGCTCATTGACTCTGAAGCGCATCCCTTGTACGGTTCATTGTCGATGGTAGTTGCTTTGAATAGACGAGTATTTTGGAATTGTTGACAGCTGAGTAGCGACAGGACAGCGATTGAGCTTGCTGACAATTTTAATTCTTCTATTGAGATTACTCCGTGGCCCGATTATGAATGCTTGGGGGACCCCTTTCTGCATGCTGCTCCATAGCGGGCCTTCGGATAGCTTCCCTACTTGCGGCTTGCCAGAAAACTAATGCTTTTATAGTTTCGAAAAGATCAAAGCCCAGGCTTACTTTGATCTTTCAGATGCGCTTCATTCTCAACGCCATCATACTGTTTGCACTGAAAAAGTAGAATATTAGTCTATTGGAATTTCCATGCTATTCTTGCAACCCGTTGATTTATGAATTAGACCTCGGCTGCACTAAGGCATGGCAAGGCATGGCAAGGCGAGGCAAAGCAAGTCAAGCCGCCAGCAATTGCTTGTAATGAACGTTGTTGCACCATGTAAATGACGTCATTACATGTCAGTGGGGCGTGGCCAGGCTTTGGGCTGTCTGCACTAGCCAGTTGAAGGCGGCTTTGCTTGATATTTACCGAGACAACATGATTTCCTTCCCCTTCCACACTTACCTCAGCTGCAACATTTGTTCGACTTAACAACAAAGCATTTAAAAACGTTATGAAGTTCCGAAATCAAAATAAAATAAAATGAAAAACTCTTTCATAGGAAAACTGCTGTGAACTATTCGCGTGCTACGTTGATACTAAAGGATTCCAAACACCCCAAAGCTTAGCTACACTCAATAGTGATGGATATATGATTGACTACTGTGTTAAGAGAATTTTGTACAGAGAATATGTAACAGAAAGTTTGTATATTTATTTATATTTTATATGTATTAAATATGGAACAGAAAGCTTGTATATTTCGCATATAATCCTTAGCATTCCAGTGGTCAGCTTCTTATATTTCATAGCTTGATTACTAAACGATAATAAAAATGATCAGCAGAATTGTCTAAGGACGGGAAAGAGTCATCTTTAACAGTCAATCAAACAACAGAAGCAAAAAAATGAAGCATCTAATAGAAACTCAGTTCGTTTTGATTGGATTGAATTGATTGGGCGTTGTGTGAGGCTTGGCCGCAATGCGACGCCGGCGGATATAAGGAGCACATCCTGTGTGAGCGTGTGGCCTGTGCCTTGGCCCTGTGTCTGTGCCTACAACAAAAAAATGAAATCATTTCCATTTTTTACACTATGAAGTTTTTTCTTATTTGACTCTTGCAGCTGTTTATTAAAACTGCAAGCCGCAGGCGCTACGATTAAAACACACACACGCCCACATAGACAGGGAACTTAAGGCTCGAAAGGATACTGGATACATGATTCAGTATTCAAGATTTCATGTATGCTAGCAGCTTTTCTATTATCTGTAAAATGTTTTGATTTATTATATGCGGGTTCAAGTTTATGTTTGGGCCATAAATTGTGAGCCTCAAGAGGCAGAGAGGCGCTGCCAGCCACAGTTCCTCCCGCTTCTTTGGCTTCTTTCCACCGGCGGCAGTTAAGCCAATTAATTGGCTCTAGATTTATTAGTTTTATTTTTTTCATAACCCTTTCTGCCGTCCAACTCTTTAATAGTGCGGCGCGTATGTGTTGTGATTTATTGCGCGAAGTATTTCAACCTCAAAAGGAAGTTTGGCTCCTTTGGCACGCACGCAGCAGAAGCTACTACACGAGTCCAGGTAATAATCAGACTTCATGTGTGTGTGAATGTGTCTGTGTGTTCGCTTGCCCGGAAGGCGTGGCATTTGCATATAAATAGATATGTCACCTTAAATATTAGACACATGCGAATTGCGGCGCTTCGCTGAGCCTTCGGGCCACACAAGTTGTTGCGTGCAAAGGCAACAACAATAATAATAATAATAATAATAACAACAACAACAGTAGTAAACACAAAGTCTTGACGGTTTTCCATTAAATTAGTCTTAGCGTCAAATGTGACACCCAAAATGCTGCTGACACTCATCTTAGCCATTCATTGTATCTAAATTATTAACTAGGTCAAAAGGGAGCACGCGATATTTTTTTATTATTAAGAGTCCTGTAAAGAACTGTCACTGCCTGGCAGCTGACCTAAATTTCTATGAGATAACTTGACCTCGTATCAGTAAGCGCTGAATTTTAGATGTTTTTTCTTTCATTGTAAGTAAAATGAACCCAAATCAAATGGCAGCAGCTTTTCCTCCAGGGATTAGTAAACTATATAGCTGAAAATGTTGCTTACATTTGCGGTAATTGCCTTATAAAATTCCATCTTACAATATATATATTAAAGTCCCTTGCTAGAACAAAGGTGAGTTAATTACTTAAATTCTAGAAAGCGCATCCATTTCATTTAATGTAACTGGCATAAATTATAATTTTATTTTCTAAATATATTTACAGAAGTTGTGTTGTACATTACACTAAACCTTTTTTTAAAGCCCTGACTAGTTGACAAAGTAACTGATATAAAGCGACTATTCTCTGTCATACACTACACGTTCTTTATATGCATTAAAATTGGCTTTAAATATTTTAAATAGCTTACTAAAATTAAGCAAATTGTATTTTTGATAGCAAACACTTTCTTTGCATGCATTGAAATTATTTTAAAGTTAAAAAAATAAATAAAATTCACAGCCTCAATTTGTAAATTGTAAATCAAATTTGATTTTTTATAGCTTCTGCTATAGTAAAAAATTCACTTTGCTTTTTCTTGTTGCCAATGTTTGAATGAACTTTTTTGTTGTCTATTTGCTGTGCATTTATTATGCTTTTAGCTTTCAACACAGATGGCGCATGTGTGTGTGAGCGTAATGCATGCTCAATAGCTTAAATTATGCGTGCGTATGGAATATGCAATTTGAATGTGAAATAGTTGACATTGGCCACACGCGGGCAGAACCACAAAGCAGAACGAGCAGAGCTGAAGCAGCACGAACCAATTGCACAAAATCAACGCAAAAACCTCAGAAACATTTAGCAGCGATGCATAAATCATGGCATACTTAACAGCGCGCACACACAGACACACACTTGTATAAATTGGTTGGGTGTCCTGCTGCGTAACAGGCTCGCGGTTGTTTTGATTTCGTTTGCAACCTTTAATTAGAAATATTGCCACATTCTAAATGAGCCGAGGCTGCACACGGGGCCACACCAAAAACAAATTAAATATTGAAAAACGGAATAATAATTATGATGGCAATCGAAATCGAGTGGGAAGTGGAGTGGGCAATTGGATAGCATTCAACCGCAGTCACATATACATTCATTTTTGCATTTATGCACAAAATTAACTAATTTAAGTGACATACGAGATATTTTGGTTGCATTTCGGTCAGTAGCTATAAAAACCAAACGACAAATTCGTGGCAATGCATTGAATTGCCCGCCAATCGGGTTATAATTGACTTAGTTCGTGCCATACAGAGCAGCCAGTGCATACTGTCCAGTGCATACATAAACACATGCTAAACAGGTTCCGGCTAGAGTCATCAATTCCTAATCAAAATTGTATTAGTAATTTTTAATTGCCTGCGATTGATGTAAATATCAAGTATATAAATATATGAACGATAATTTTGAGGCATTTATTATAAATGATAAATAAACAAGAATTATATTATAAAGTTGTCGATATATGAGATCATCATTATGATTCAGTTGCTAGAATATAGAATATATTTAATTTAGTTTAGTTTTCTTTAATCAAATTGACTTTTAAATATTTTTGACTTTCATTCAGTCCACAGTTTCATTATCATTTACTTTATTTAGTTTGCATTTATTCTGCTGTCCTTTAAAAATAGTCGAGATTTATTTAAAAAATTCTTGCATATTTCATTTTACATTTTTTAAATTTTTGCTGCTAAATTACCCATTGCGCATCATCTCTGTTGGAATAGCTGCTGAATATTTGCAATGCCAACTTACGTAGACAAATTTTGCAGTTGAAGATTCTATGGCAGAAGAGGAATAGTTACTTGACAATGGGAATACCTTCATGACTTCAGTTGCACAGGCAATGCAATGGCAGACATTGAACAGAGCTAGTTCCGGCGAACAGCGTTGAATGTTAATTGAGCAAGAAACATTTGGAAAATCTGGTAAGCCATGAGACGCGCAGCAGCTCTGAGATGATGTCTAGAAATGGGCAAGTGTATTAGATACTATGCAACAGCTGCTTCCATTGATTTATGAACAACAGCTAAAGCTACTTCACAGATGTACAAAACCGAAATTAACAAAAGAAATAAGTTTACCATTTGCTGCCTGAATGGCAATCAAGTACAGGCCACATGGAAGACTTCAACCACACAAATATACTAGAAAAATGCCAGCTAATAGTCAAAGTCGATTGTCATAGTTGGTTAGTTCGTGATGGGGGACTCTCCAAAGACATTCCAATAACTGTACAACATCCGGCCGGGCCATACAATGGCAGAAACGTTTCCAATTTCAATGGCGAAATATTTCTATTTGAACATGAAAATATTTTTTCCAGCTGTTTATATGAGTGCATGTGTGTGTGCCAGTGCGTGTATACATCTAACCGACTTTTCACCTGGCAACGACGAGATAACACAATGGCAAAAAAAGAAGATTTTTCAGCTTGTGGGTAAGCGACTGAGAGGTACCCTAAGTAAGATTAGGGAAAGACTGGCTTTAACTCTTTATCCATTATAAATCATTGTTTCAAAGCCAATCTCTTTCGATTTGCGAAAATACGTTTGAATATATATTTTAAATGAATCTCTTCAACAGATTATATATATATATATGTTTATATATAAGCCACATGTTATACAACAGTGCTAGATAAAGTCGTCTTTCTAATGAAGTTTTTAATACATATAAAAATGTCTCAATCCTTCTACATGTTACATACTTTTCATCTAAGCCAATACACCCAATATACCCTCTTATCCGACAAAAAATGCAATCTTAATCCAGTCGCTTAACAGGAAATGTTTGTCGCAGACGAAACTTAATATAGTAAAAATGAAAAAGAAATGCTTAAACGAAGATTAAATTCACTTTATTTCATTTAAAAAAATTTGCTTTAATTAAAGTTTATTTCAACATATAAAAACTAAATAGGATTTAAATATGATTTTATGCATAAATATTACAATCGCTGAAATGTGATCTCTGTCTAAATATGAAGATGGTTAAAGTTAGTAATTTGTTAAATGGGTGTTTCATAGCCTGTCACGAAAAAGTCTTCAATTCAGTTGATTATCTAAACAAAGTGACTTAAGTCTTCAGACCTATTTAAATTTCCTGAAAAGCTTAGAAAACGATTCCACAAAAAGTGTATAGAAAGCCGACTAAAAGAAATTATATGCAATGCACTTAGTTCTCAGCAGAGGTTGGCTAGGTCATATATATATGAATGGCACCGGTGACATATACACTTGACTTGACTTGCACATTTGTGGCGAAAGGCAGCAAGACGACGAAGAAGTCAATTCGAGCCACAGCCACAGCCACAGTCAAATCCAAAGAAAAATAGTTATTGTTAGGCCAGAGAAGGCATGAGAAGAGAGAGAAAGCAAACCCCTCGCCTAAGTTGGCAGCAGTAAGTAGCTTTATTATGGGATTTTAAGTTATTACACCAAAGAAGAAGAAGAAAAATAAGAATGGGCTGACAGAGAGCGTTGGCAAACAGGCAACTGGGTGCCATTGCGAGGCACTCACATATGCAGTTGTTGGCACT